GGCTCAGTGCCTGTGGCTCAAGTGGCTAAGGCGCCAGCCACATACACCTAAGGTGGCGGGTTTGAATCCCCAGCCCACCCCCCCAAACTGAAACACGGCTGCAACCAAAAAATATCCTGGTGTTGTGGCGGGGGGGGGTGCCTGTGGTCCCAGCTACTTGGGAGGCTGAGGCAAGAGAATCACTTAAGCCCAGGAGTTGGAGGTTACTGTGAGCTGTGATGTCACGGCACTCTACCCAGGACGACAGCTGGAGGCTCTGTCTCAAAATTAATTCCACCTTCAATTGAATAATAAAAGGTGCCTCTAATATTTTTTAAACTAGTGTTAATTTAAATATTGAGGACTAAACTTGGGTTGCTATTTTTAGAATGTATTAATTTTAAGACAGGGTATCTCTCTGTCACCCAGGCTGGAGTGAAGTGGCACAATCATAGCTCACTGCAACCTCAAATTCCTGGTCTCAAGAGATTCTCTTACTTCAGCCTCCCAAGGTGCTGAGATTATAGGCATGAGTTTACAGATTGCTACTTTAAATCAGATTTTTTTTGCTAGCTGATAGTTTGAATATAAGAAGCCAACTGATTTCTATAAAAAGCTTTTCAGCTGATCCTTTTGAAGTTTCCAAATAACCATCATTATGAAAATAAGGCTTATTTTATATCATTCCCAACTCTCTGCTTGTTCTTCTTTTGTCATTGACTAGTACCTGAAAAAGGTTAAGTAATGGTAGTGTCGGACACCCCATCTTCTTTTTTTGTAGGAGGTCTTCTAACATTTATCTGTTGTGCCGAAAGATACTTCTTTTTTTGTGGGAGGTCTTCTGACATTTATCTGTTGTGCTGAAAGATACTAGTTTGAGGCAGACATTTTTCATCGTGTCAAGTGTCTGTTGATTTCTTTTTTTTTTTTTTTTTGCAGTTTTTGACCAGGGCTGGGTTTGAACCCACCACCTCTGGTATATGGGGCTGGTGCCCTACTCCTTTGAGCCACAGGCACCACCTTATTGATTTCTTTTTAGAAGCAAACGTGAACTATAACATTATTTTACGGTTTTCATGCCCATCTTTCCATCTGTATTGATTTAGCTATTTATCATTCCCATATGTGGATATGCCATAAATAATTTACCCAATCCGCCATTCAGAGACACTTAACAGTTTTATTACTACCAAACAGTGAGTGCCAGTGCATATGTGTCTGTAGGAGAAATTACTAGAATGGGAAGGTAAGGGTACTATTTTATCAAACTAAGAACTATTAATAAATGCCTTTAGCTTGGACCGGGAGGACACTGGCTTTGGCTTCCAGCCCCTGCTGACCTGTCCTGTGTCACTGCCAGCCCATTCACCGTTACCGGATCTTCAACTTGCATCACACTCAGACATCCTCCATGTCAGCGGTTCTCAACCTGTGGGTCGCAACCCCTTTGTAACAATGAAAATACAGCGTGGCATTAGGAAGGCTGAGAACCACTGCTCTGTGCCATTCACACCTACAACCTGACCATAGGGTTGTCTCAGCACTTCTATTTTCTGTCTGGTGGATGAGCTTTACAAAGGGCTTCACTTGTGTAAGTCTTCACAGTCCGATTTCCTACAAACAGCCTGACCCCAGGGTGGGAGGCTTAAGCTAAACAAAGTAAGTTACATTAAGCACTTCAGCCAAGCAATTTAGTTTTGTCCATATGCCTAATACAAACTATAGTCATCATCTTCATCATAAATTAGTTATCTAGATTACACACACAACTTATGTATGCAGAAAAAAACCTCTGTGTCTAAAGGGCACCCAGAAAAAAATAACAAACCTATGTCTAAAGGGCACCCCCCCAAAAAAAATTACCTAAGATGAATGTAATAGAAGTCACCACTGGGAAGATGAGGAAAGCCAGCTCACTCCAATAGTGAAACTGAAGTTTCCCTGAGGAAACCTGCCCCACATTCTAAGTTCTAGCTAACAATAAGGCTGGTTGGCTGTTCAGTAGATTCAAAGACTCCTGCTACCAGCACCTTTTCCCGCTGGACTATATTTATGTTCTAGGCCATGATTCTAAGATCTACTTCCCCATCTACATTCTTGATGGACAAGCACAAGTCCTGTGCCTATCGAAATAGCAGTTGGTGGGGGGGGGGGCGTTTGGTACAGTACATAAGCACACCTGAAAAGCTCTGGTGCCACACCCTTCTCTGCCTCTGATCCTAGAAGCCATGGCCCTTGGTCCTTGTCCCTCATCCTTCAAGCCCAGTTCCCTCTGTCCCCCGTTGACTGCACCCCAGAATGTTTCAGGAAAATTCATTTCCATAGCCGATTAAGCTGCTGTAACAGAAAGAACCCACACGAGGGCTTGGATAAGACAGGAGTGATTTCTTCCTCCCGCTGCATACAGTGTAGGGGTGAGCGATCTGCCAGGCGGCTTCCTCGATATTCTTTTGCCACTTCCTAAGTCAAGAAGTGGACGCAAAGGGAGGGGGGCGGTGGCGTAGACGTCTCCCTGGGGACAGGAGCTGCCAGTCGGGCTAACAGTCCTCCGGCCAGATGCAGCTGTGTTGCCCCAGCCCTTGCCAGGAAGGGGAACGAAGGACCCGCTTGGAGTCTGTGGGCCCAAATAAAGGGGGCGGGTGACTAGTTCACTGAAAGGCAGAAGAAACCCAGAGAAAGGGGTCAATCCCGCCCGCGCGCCTCTGGGTTCCCTGCGCAATCGCTGGGGCCGGGCGCCCCCTGGTGTCCGCCCTGCGCCGACGCAGAACCAGTTAGGAAATTGCATCCAAGAAGTCGGACTTGGTCAGAGACGACCTGAAGGGTTCACACACCCCCAAAGAATTTCTGTAGTAAAGTTTACTCTGTTTCTGTTTAATAGTGAACACGTGGAACAACGCACAGGTCCATGTGAATTCTTAAATCATGAAACATGGATAAAACAATTACTGATAAATGAAAAAAGCAAGTTGTTGAATTTATATATATTATGAAATATGTCATGACATCCCACTTACGATTAAAAAAAGCCATTAATACTAATATATATGACATACCCAGTAGTGAGTGGATAGATTTGAGAAGGGGGCATCAGACTGAATGGGGAAATAAAAGAGGACGGGGTGGAGAGAAAGAAGAAAGAAC